CAAATACTTGGAAAACTCTCCAAGAACAGCCTTGTGCAAATTTTGAATGGGAATTGTAGATATAATGGAACTGCAGTGACTATTGTAATGTTAAGAGAGTTTATTACAGAGCAGGATAAATATTAACATTTATCATGCTAGTCATGGTGTATCTTTCCAGTACAAAATATATTTAGTAGTTTACAAATTATTGCATGTTTTCTTTGGAGCTTCTGTATTACCAGTGAAATACTAGCCCCAAATACCAACATTAATACACAAACATAATAAAGAAAAATATACAAGCCCCAATCAGGGTCTACACTTCAATACTGAATTGCCATGCTACATCATAAATATAGAGCTATAAATAAAATATTTTCCCTTTCATGCATAGGTTGCTTTAAATGAAGAATACTGCAATTTAAGATAGGTTTTTTTGGTCTTCTTACATCATGACCCATTATTTTAAAACCTTGTAATAATTTATTACTCAAAGCTTTTTTTTCCTTGATAGAAAACTCCAACTTCCACTCCACAGTTTAAAAACTTGTTTGGTATCATATCACATCTCTGACAGATTTCACTTGGTTGGAGGAATTTAATAAAAACAAATGTTAAATTCACAAACGTCAATCTGAAGGTATACTAGAGAAGCTAAATTCAGTTTTACAATTGAAATAAATCCTTTTGTAGCATCACCATCTAGTGGTCAATCTTGGTAGCAATGCATTTCTTCAATTACATCAAAGTCAATTCAACTTCATCACATTTTATTTCATAACAACTCAAGGAACGTTGCATTATAATCACAAGTTTCTATAAGGAATGTGGAAACCTCATACTGAAGAAATTCTGGTACTGGCTGCCTACCTTCCTGAATATATTCTTTAAAATGTTTTGGACAGAATATTTGTGAAGGATTTGAAGTTTGGCCATTTTCACTATCTGTTCGTGATTCTCTACCATTAAACATTCAAAAAACCCCTGTTTTACAGAATTAAGAAGAGTTCCACTTCACACAATATTAAATAGGGAACAGAGGACACAAAATCTCCTGGGTCAAGTTTACTTCGATTGATGCTTGAGACATACGAAATACACATTTCTTCTTAAACTGACAAAGCTCCACCCTAACAAGACAAAACCTGTAAGCCCTGTCTCATGTTTCAACTTTAAATCAAGTACAGCTAATATCAGTTATTTCATGCTAATTGCAAATGTGCAATATCTTACCCCGACCTGAATGTGGGGTAGCCCGCCCCTCTGTCAAGAAGGTAAACCACCTTGAGTTACTATAGTACTTAATGTGGAACATTTGATAAATAGTAGTCATGTGCTCATCCTCTAAAAATTTACGATACACATTTGTCTTTTTGGTCATTGAAAGCTGCTCTTTGAAAACCATCCACCTGCCCAAACAAGTTGTAAAAGCTGCTTTAAGTCCTAGAAAATTCAAAAGCTTCTCTCGAGAGCAAAATGTGAACTAGTTAAAACCAGGCATCTCCCTTCTTCCCCATCATCTATTCGTGTTCTGTATTATTGCTCTAGACTGCAGAGGGCTTGCTATAAAAGAAGGTATTCCTCAAAATCTGATTCTACTGCCCTCTACAGCATTTCTTAAAAAGCAGCATGTGATCATAAAACCACTGTTTACATTTGGTCTTCAAACTAATAACTGTGTTTGAAATTTCAAGTGTATTTAACATTTATATTTTAAAAAATCTTATTATTTTATTAATGTAATAAACATAACATCCTCTATTACATTTAGTTTCCTTAAGCAAATGTACTATTCAACAAAGCTAATCAAGATCTTTTATATTAGCCAAAACCTGGTCCCTACACAGTGCATCAAGCCAACCTACTAAATAAATTACGCAAAGCACTCTTAACTCAGAGCTGTTGTTGCTAAATTGATCTTCAGCATGAGCTATGCCAAAACTATGAACATCTTGCAGATCATCAGGCCAAAAGAAGAGAGGACCAGCTATGCTAATAATACAGTAGCAACCTTGGTTATTTTCTGACATACTGAAGTTCAATTTTTAACAGCATTTATTCCAATAACTTTAGCAAACCATCTCCTGACCGAAAAGAAATTTTGTGAGCTCAAAGGCACTTTACTCTAAAAGGTCCCATAAAGACCCCCAGGGCCTACAAAACTACAGATGCATCCCTCACTCCAAATACCTTAAGAACTCAGACTCTGATTATAAACGATTTATGCAAAGAAGTTAACTTCTTCAGGAGAGAAGCAAGTCAGCAGCCAACTTCACATCAGAATTCAAAGTTCCACAAAATGCTGGTAAAGAACTGAAACCTGGAGCACCCACCCCAGTTTTCAGATGAACAAAGCTCAGAGGAGTTTCAGTTCTACCATACATTGGTATGGTAAATGGCTTTAAACTGAAGGGAGGTAGATATAGACTAGACATAAGGAAGAAATTTTTTACGCTGAGGGTGGTGAAACACCGGCACAGGTTGCCCAGAGAGGTGGTGGATGCCCCATCCCTGGAAACATTCAAGGTCGGGTTGGACGGGGCTCTGAGCAACCTGATCTAGTTGAAGATGTCCCTGCCCACGGCAGGGGGGTTGGACTAGATGACCTTTAGAGGTCCCTTCCAACCCAAACTATTCTATGATTCTATGATACATTGCTTTGAAATTAATAGAGTAGTCACGTGAAAATAATCAGATGTATGGTATAAATGGTAGTATGAGTTGCACGATAATATTTCTCTTATACACATTCTTTCCTATCAAGTGGCGATTGCTCAGCACTTACTGATTTGACAAAGATAATAGTAATACTCCTCAGAGACCTAAGATACATAGTATTTTGAAAAGGCCTCACCATACTTTGTAATTATACTTACACATTGCTTAACTCTATTTCCAGAATAGCTTAAATGAGACGTGGTTTCTTTCTTCCAGAACAGTGCAGCAGAATTGTATATTCAACACACCCCAAGAAAACTAAAGAATTTTCAGCTTAGATCACATCTGAGCAGCGGAAGGCAGAGTATAATCATTCATATTTATTTCTGTAAAACTGTCTGGGTTTTACATCAGTGTCTTTACAGAAAGTTACAGTAGTTAGATAAAGCTCAATTAGAACAGATAATTATAACAGTGTCCCATGTAACACTCCAAATACAAGCCTCACTTGTTTGTGGAGACTGCCTGGTAGGATCTCTGTAAGGCAGAGATCACTAACACTATAGAGAGATAGGAAATTAAGTCATCTTCCATGGAATGGTAATATTGCCAATATCAAATCCTCACTTCTGTATTTCTGTAGTTGGCTATTTGCAAAAATAATCTGAAATAAAGTCAAACACAGGAACTATTCTGAGTAGTTTGGTTTCCCTTAGATCCAAGCAGCCAGAAAGAAACCAAGGTAATTACAGCCCTTTAAACAGTCTCAAGTACAATGAAATAAAACCTAGTCAGTTCCAAGAAACAGATCTTCAGTCTCGCATACCCATTCTAGAATTCTGTTTTTTATTTCTATGGAGTTTCTCGATTGTGAAATGCATTATACTTGATCACTTATTACAGACAGTTTTGCAGTTTGCCTCTTTGCCTTTTTGACCCCTTTATGCTTTCTGAAATGCAAGACTAACTGCACTATGAATTAGGAAAAGCTTGTGAATAAGCAGAGTTGACCTTAAGTTCCCAGAGACAGAGGATTTTTTTTTTATTATTTCTAATGGTTGCACACAAAATGGGATGTATTACTTTCTGAATATCAATGAATTCGGGGAATTAGACATGTGGAAGTGTGTTACTGTGTGTCTACCTTCATAAGCAACAGAAGATTGAGGTCCTAGCCATTCTCAAAATGAAAGGTTTGTCATATTAGCTTTCTTACAAGGCTCTTCAGAGGTTAATATAGCCCACTTGAAAAAGGTTATTCATTAGGGCTTAAAGAATTCAGCTCGTCTAGCTCCTGAAGATTACGGAAACACAGAGTTCCTTATGGAGTTATAAGTAAAAATACATAACCGTGTTCAATACCAACATATACATTTTTAAAATCTTAGAAAAGCTGGAACACAATTACTAAACACACCCGCCCACAGTTTGTTCCTCTGCAGAATCCCTACAGAATTATAAAGAGCTGATACGTTCAACAAGATTTTTCTTTATAATAAAAAGAATTCTGGAAATAGAACCAAGTTCAAAACAACTTTTTTCTTAAAATATAGCAGCGCTCGTTACAGTACACTGCCAATTTCAGCCAAAGGATACTACCACACACTAACAATTCATGCTAAAAATACCAGACTGTAGGCCTACCACAATGTAAACCCACCTCATCATTCTAAAGCACAAATACTCATCACTATCAAATGACTTCTCTGATTTTTTCCTCAAAACAAGCCATAAAGACTCAGAAGTGTTATAGAAAACAGCATTTAGTCTGGCACGCTAAAATATTATGCCATTCAGAAAATGATTAAGCTACATCTCCCTACTAACCCAGCAAATAAAACTGCCTGCTACAGCCTCCAACCCCCCAAAACCTCACACTCAGTTTGTCCTCTTACTTTTTAAATCTATCTTGAAGTTACTGGAACCGTCCTGAGAATAATGGTGCTGTATGCTGAAAAACTCCAGAGACATATATTACATTTGGCTTATTATGTTTTCCACATAGGTCCTCGATTAAAATATTTACTAGAAACAAACTCTGAATTGATTCTACAGGATCCTGGTAGAAAACCCAAAACGTAACTGACAGCAGTAACCACAGGGCCCATCACAACTATACCCGAGACCTTAAGTTACCTACATTTGTTATCTGAGCATTTTACTATCATGCACTTTCGGTCAGAATGTGTGGAACCACGTAAATGCCTTAACGTCTACAAAGTGAATTTTACAAATGAGCAGTTCCATTAAAAAAACAGAAGCAGGTATATCGCATGCATTTCCCCCCCGCCCCCTCAAATTATATCCCTGGAGAGTATATCAAAAGAGTTCACTCTCATAATAACTTTAAAAATGCCTACCTTTACTGGTGAAATATGAGAATGAGAAACAAATCCATGGACATTCTCAATTTGTGATAGATTTTTCTCCGATACGTGAACCAGCTCTGGACCTGTCACCTCATTGGTAATGTGTGGAGAGCTGTGCTCCTGTGGAGGTGTATCTTCATCCTGATAGCGGTATTTCTGAAGAAAACAATTATACAAAAAGATCAGTCCACCACAGAAATGTGAAAAGATTCCCCAGAAAACCTAGGTCAGACAGAAATAGTTATTTTCTGACACTGCTGACTTCAAGGCAATAAAATCTAGAAATAAAAGTTTTAATTAGTATTTTCAGTTTAAACACTGATCCTGTCTAAAAAGGTTCCAGCCTTTTCAGTCTCACCTAGAACTACTATGTAGCTACCTAATTTTCTTTTGCCTATTTGCATACAGTAACATGTCCCCAAACCCTTTTCCAAAGCACTTTTCCCTTTACTAGTTTTTTTCCTTACAAATACTTTAACACTACATTATTCACTAATAGCAGAAACTCTCAGTACCAACTGGATTTATCACCGTGTCCTGCCTTTAAAAACTATCAGCCTCAAAAGCTTTTCTCTATACTTCTAATTTAGCACATCTGCCAAAAGCATTTTTTGTCTGCTAAAGAGTTTCAGCTTTTATACTGGGGTATCAATATAGCAATTCACTACTGCTAACTTCATTATGAAACAATAAAATGTGGTTTTGCTACTAGACCCATTAAGTTTCCCCAACAAGCAAGTCTTCAAACAGAAACACAAGACATCACTCAATCTCAGCCTTATTAATTTGCATTCAATTTCAAAAACCAGAACCTATTACTTAGCCACCAGGGATGCGTTCTAGTCAGACTGTGCAGATCTGTACTAAAAGGTATTAATGAAATCAGGAGCATACATAATATTCACCTGTTCTCTGGACTGCAGAGTTAACTGCTCATCCAGCACCTCCAAACTCCAGAGCTAACATGGGCTTGCATTACAAACATACTTAAATACAAGCTTCACCCCAGTTTCACCTTTGTAGTCTCAGCCAATTCTGAGGCACTTCAGGTAGCCCATGCATTTTATTGCTAGTTAAAGCTAAAGCTGAAAGCTGAAATCATGTAACTTTTCCAGCAGGGTTTACTGTGTCCACAAGATGCACCCCAACATTTTATAACCACAGTCACTTTCAGACACTACTACTATACTCTGGAGTACATATATAGTTGTTACTAGTTTACAGGGAAAGCGTGTCATGTCAATAAAGGAACAGAAAAACCTTGTAAACATGTAATGGTTTTAAACTTGGAAAAAGCTATTCCTATTATTAAGAAAGTTTATTTAGGATAGAAGGTATTTCCTTGAGGTTTTTTTAAACAGAATTCTAAGATTTACATACTACAATTTAAGTCAAAAATAGTCGTCACCTTGGTAAGTCATTTCTACATCGTAATCCAGTAGATCACTGCAAGTAACCACTTGTCTATAAGCACGTGAACACTACACCAAGGCAGTACCCGATAAACAGTGTTTGATAACTAACCCTGATAACAGTTACATGAAACTACGATTTCAGGCTACCACAAAGATCCCTGCCCTTCACAGAAGAGTCCTGCAATATTACAAAGTTATAAAGTCTACAGGACAAACTACAAAGAAACTGCTTGAAATGACTCATCCGTTACCAACTCCTGTAACGTTTAACCCATTCGTGTCCTGCCCACCCACCCCCGGGTGCCTGTCTTAGATAGGAAGACTTAATTTTTTGTCTATCCAGCAAAAAACAATCTCTAAGCATGGTCAAATAGGACAGCTAAACTCCTAACAACAGGAATCTCTTACTCTTCCCTGTCTCCCAAACCCCAGGGAAGGCACCATATCCCCTTCCTTTCTTTGGTTCTGGCTCTCAAATCAGCAGAAAATTGCCAACTTTTTCCTCCTCCTCCTCTGCGGGGTTAGACTTGTACTGGATTGCTGACCCCAATTCATGCAGGGACTCAAGGAACACCAGAGACTGTGCAAAAGGAGGGAGGAAATCAGGATGGGATCCCTCTCTTTTGGAAGGGAGCTATACATCAGCCTACTCTGTCTTCTGTAGACTCATCGTAAAGCCATATTGCAGAGTTTTGCCCAGTAAAGAGTGGTCAAATGAAACAGGGCAGCTCAAGTCACATAACTGACTTGTGCTGAAAGAGGAAGGATTTGTTTGCTCTTCTCTTCCCTGCCACATTGTTCTGCCAACACTAAGATTCCTTGGGAGACAAGCTAAGTTCCCTTACTAACTTAGAAGGAACAGCTTGCGACTTTACATTTCCATCACCCCTTGCACTTTACCCAGTCACAGCCTGCCCTACAGCAGACCCCCACCCCTGCCTCCAAACCCCAAAACAACAGCAACAAACCCACACCCAACCACACACATACAGGCAGACACTAAAGATGCAGTTTCTTTTAGCCCGTAACTGATGAGATGTCGGAGATCTTTGAAGTTATAACCCTGATTTATTTTTGTACTTAAAAAATAAAATTTAAAAAAAAAAAAATCTTTATCCACCCTACTCAATTCAACCCTTCATTGTTGAGACCATACGAGATCAAGTTCTACTATGAAAGAAATTATGCTTTTGAAGTATTAGAAACTATAAAGTAGAAGCAATACAAGTATATTTTCTCTAAAAATAACAATGATTAGCAGAGAAGCACAAGGCAGAAGAAAAAGTTCCAAAGAGGAAAGCAAGAGCATTAAGACTTCTGTTATTACAACAGCTGACCTCAAAACACTTCCATACCTTCTCCTTAGCTGGATGGCAAAGGAGAGATGGTGAATGCTGATAGTTGTGAAAGATTGCAATGGTTACTCAAAAAGCCCTAGTTTTTCAAATCTTTAGCAGAGAGGTTTCATGAGATGACCAAGCCAACTTAATAGCTCACTACTAGCAGAATATAGAAGTTCTTTTTCTTTCCTTTCCCTGCAGCAGTGAGATGCTAGATTGCTCAGCTTCAGACTCTTGCCATTCATCTATTTTCTGAGATGGACTTGTTTTTAACTTATCAAAACAAAACCCTGAAATGAGTTGACATTAACTCTCTAGAGCAGCCACGTTAAACATCAGAAACAGAGAAGAATTATCATTTCGAGATCAGTGTTGGTCAAAAATACAAGTGAACATTATCAGACCATAAAGAAGATCACAATGGAAATTAGAGAAAATAAACATCAGAGCTGCAAGAAGCACAGAAAATGTCTTGCAACATCAGAGAAAGTAGGAATTCTGCTCGATTACAGGAGCCTGCTCTGCTGGTGAAGGCAATATTTGGCTGGACTTGTGATCCAAAATGTCCCTGCCAGATCTCAAGCTTCGATTTGACTATGAAATACAGGAAAACGGGACCTGAGAGTGGATTAAGTTCCCAGTTCTTCTCAGACAAGACTTGTGGAAAGCTAGAAGCGGATCATTCCAGTTTTATTAAAAAAAAATTAATAAAATAGTCACAGGTCAATCAAAATTAACTTCCTTTGCAGAACAGTCAATACCTTTAGGCAAAGCACAGCATTACCTTGATTTTTCTCCTGAAACCAGACACGTTTATTAGAAACAAGTATTTGGACATGTCTGAGTGTAAACAGGCTCTAGATTTCACTAAGAAACATATGTTTACATTACACAATGATTAGTGCTTACAATAACATAGTGCGTGTGAAGTTTTAATAGATCTGTATGACATTATAATTTAGATTAAAAATGAAAAAGTGTTCTGGTAAAGGATTCGCTCTCATATGAGGCACTGACAAGGGCTATAAGCTTCTCGAAGAAACATCTTAAATGTGAAGTGCTAATTGGTTTTTGACACAATATTCAAGATTGACTTTACTATTATTTGCAAAATATTTTCCAGCTTGAAACTACTAACAAAAGCCGATTTCATGTTTAAAATACACTAACTGAAATACTTACAGGATGATGTTTCAAAGTGCAAATAGAAGACAAGGACACAAAGTGCATGAAAACATAACATCCACAACACTACTTATTCTGAAAGGTACCACACTATCTTTGCCCTTTGCAGAAATTACTTTTGAACAAAGTGCTTCAAGGAAATTACTGTATCTTATAACAGCTAATTCTCCATAGAAGTGGAAGTGTTTTGTACTACTTTACTACAGAGCATCACTTCTGAAGTACTATGCCTCTTGACTGAAGTAGCGCATTCAAGTGATCTGTCATGGTCAAACAGCTGCCATTCAAAATTGTCCATTTCTTTCCTCTCCCAGGAGCTGCCACCCCTTGAACATGAATTCGGTCAACTGTTTTAGTCATGCCAAGTTAATTCTGCTGCTACATATGAAACGAAATCCCATGCAAGTCACCCTCCACAGGAGTCTAAAGATACCGTTTCACAATACAGCCTAGCTCACTCAAAGGGCAGCTACTGTCCAAAGACCAGGACCCATCCAATCCCTCTTGGTCGAGCTGTACAACTACATCTCCCTGCCCCTTGCTGCTACTACACATCTGACTTCAGATGGTGAGCAAGCTAATCCAGCAGAATGTTTGTTCCCTCTTCCAGCAATATTAAATTTTCTATAATTCCCTAAAGTGGCTCACAACAAGATGAGACACGCAGCAGTGCTGGCATAACAGGGAGAAAAGCAGGTAGAGCGCAGGACCAGCCCACCTCATAGTGGGTAGCAGAAGACCATTTCTCTGCTTACAACCAAGAGAATCCAATCCTGCAACCAAATCCAGGCTCCAAGGAGACCCTAGCTTAGAAGGGCCAGCCAAGCAATGGGCAAGACAGATCAAAGGAAACAAAAAAAAGCAGGTGTGGCAAAGCAGCTCTGAACTTGCAGACAGACTGCTTCAGCTGCACATCTCAGAAGTTTCCCAGCACTAAACTAGGTAGTAGCCAAGCAATTTAACTATTTTTAAGAAGCTTTATGGACTGCCGTATAATTTATAATCATAATTTAAAGTCCAAAGCATCCAAGTGCTAAACGTTTAACACATACTTCTGACAGAGCTACTGCCCCAAAGGATTCAGTTGTAGGGATAGAGGTATGTCAAAATTAAAAACATTTCTCTTTTGATGCAACATAGTTAACAAAATTTCTTCAGGCTAGATTACACCTTCAATTATTGTTGAACTGTCACCAAACACTATGGAGTAAATTAT